TAGAGGAACAGGAGCAGATAAGGTCAAGGAGCAAGGGTCCCAACAAAGTCATATGCCAGGGGGGTCAGGAGCAGGCAGCAGGGATTCAGATTGGAGTCACTGGTGAGGGAGTCAAGCGCAGGCAGCCGTAAGTAAAAGGAGAAGGATGTCAGTGGTTGTCAAACTGCAGCCACAAAGCAGGAGCTGGCTGTCAATAAATAGGGGTCTGGACTGAAGTTAGGAGCAAGTAGGCATCTGGAGCCAGTAAGTCTGGAGCAAAAGGGTCCAGGCTGGAGTCAGGAACCAAAAGGCAGAAAACAGGAACAAGGATAAAGTCAGCAATACAGACAGTAAGCAAACAGAAAGAAGCCAGCAAACCCACTCAGTAACCAGAGTCAGAGGGGGCTATTTAGCCTTCCTGCTGCCTTGGCTTCTGGCAATGAGAATGGCCATCCACCCTGTGTCTCCACTGATGCAACCCTAGAAACAGGAACAATTGCTTCAGATAATTCCTCAGGGCCCACTCAGGAGTTACCTTCAGCCTGGGGAAACGGGAACAAGGGGCAGCAGATGTCCATCTCTAGGGGTGAGAAGACAGGTGAGACAGGCTTCAGGGACCTTTGCTGCCTGCAAATTCTTCTTCCTATGCCCCTTCTTCTTTCCATTTTCTACCTCAACATCCTGGTTGTCGTACTGCACACCTGCTCTGCTGAGGGACAGCACACAACGTTTTCCAATTGCAATTCCCACCTCATTGCAGTGGGTCTTTTTTTATAGCTGTGGCATTGTTGTGTGCATTGGACATTGGACTGGCCAGTCAAACATTCAAGAAAAAAAAAAAAGATCCCTCTTTTACATCTTTATCAATCCACTGCTACTCCCCCCCCACCCCCCCCACCCCAAATATACAGTATGAGGAACAAACAGGTAAAGAGGGCCCTCTAGAGGATACATGGAAAAGAGAATTTCTCTCATTGAACATTTTTCCTCCTCACTACTATGTTTCTCAATTCCCCTTTATCTTTGTGCTTCGATCTCTTCAGACATTGAAGTCTGAATTTTAAATGCCAAAAATGTATTATATTTTTCTAACTGCATGTTATAATTTTGTTTATTCTTTGCACCTCATGATGAGTATACCTACAAGAGGGTGGTTAATGGAGATGAGATGATGATGATTGTTTCTATGACTATGACATTGATTAAATTGTCCTTCATCCCAGCAGGTAATGTTGCCAACAAAGTGTTGCCAACATTTGAATAGGTAGTAGTACCCAAACAACCTGTTTCATAGAGGTAGGTCAGATAACTCTATACTGCACCTGCTAATCTCCCAGATCTGAACGTTTGATGTACTGAGCCTAGGCCCAGCTGGAAAGGCTCCTGCACCATGATCAAGGTGGAAATGACCAGAGGCTGGGATGAGCCATCCTTAAGGGCTACAGGAAGATTATCTCATCTGCTCAGAGCCTTATAAGCTCAGAGCAGATAAGAAATTAGTGTGAGCAACAGATCACCTTTATGTGCCCCATATCTACTTGGAATGCCTTGCCTAGCTCCTGCCTGAACCCATATTCTATCTTCTAGTCTCCTGCTTCTCTCTGCACTCCTGCTTAGCTCCTGTCTGCATCCCTGCCTAAGCACCTAGTGTCTGAAATCTTTGCTTGTGATGCCTGGCTGTTGGATCCTGACTTGTGTCCTTACAGGACATGTGATCTGCCTGGACCACCCACAGCCCAATCCGTTTCAGTAAGACTACATTAGGGTCATTTCACTTACCAGTGAAATGCAGCTGTAATTTTGTGACTGAATACAACAGAGTTAGAGGGTAAGTGGGGTGCCTGACAGACAACCACAGTATTTGGGTGAAAATCTGGGTGAATTTTAGTCCATGCCTTTGTGGAGATGGGCCACTGAACTGCCAATCCAGTCTATGTCTGGAAACCCCAAAGATTGGTTGCAAGATACGGTGGGATTGGGCTAGAGCCTGGTTTAGGGATGCTTATTGCTTCTCAATTCATAAAGGATGTTCCATTCATAAGGAGCAGCAACCACTGTGGAAAATAAAGAACTGTACATGGGAAAAGTGGGCTATAAATTCTCTCTATAAATTTAATAATATAGTTTATTAAAGTGTTAGCGTAGGAACATCAGTAGTAGGAACTGATTGAACCAGATAATGTCTATCTGTTAACTTGTCATAAAACAAACGTAGCTTGTTCCACAAGAACACAGATTTCAGCTTTTTGACACCTCCCAGGGCCATGAGAGAACTGATTCAGTCTGCTTCCTAAGGTCTCAGTAAAACAAAGGAATTTAAAGAACTCAATCAGTAAATGCTTTCTAGTGTTAACCATGCGGAAAGATGGAATATGGGATGAAGGGAAAAATCAGAGGACTTGGCAAATCCCAGAGGGCCCACTGCTGGTCTGACATCCTTCTATTCCTCTCTCGGTGGTATTGGTGAGAGAGTCTGTATCACACTGTGGGTGGTTTGGTGGACATTGGTATGTGAATATTCCTGTGCTTTGGGGTATGAGAAATGAAAGGCTGGGGGTTGACCTGTCTCTTGCCTCTTTTAATCAGTAGTCAACTGACCAGTACACTTGTAGAGCAGGTAGCAGTAAGGGAGAGAAGTAAAGAAGCTTTTATGAAAACCATAATATTTTCCACTACAAAATGATGTTAAAAGGTTAACTTTTGAAAAACTCCCTGGAGTTAAGTCATTGTTGCTGTATGTGAAGACTCCTTGTGAGACCCTTCAGGAATTAGAAGATTAGGCTAAATACTTACTCATCTCCCTTGGTTGCTCTCCCTTCAGAGACATTATGGAACACCTTTTGTTTTAAATGCACATAATGCTTTAGTTGTTTCACAGACCCAGCATGGCTCTTAATTTTATCTCTTGTCTGATGACAGATAGAGTGTTAAATTACTTAGGAGATGGCTTACATCTTTCAGCTGAGATGATTTCCCTGATCTGGCTAGGTCAGTGTTTCATTTCAGGATGCTACAGGTAAAGAAACACATCTTTCAACCTATCTATAATGTATTCTTATGG